ATGATTTCGCTAAACAGCGATTTCAGTGGAACGGATTATCATCGTCTAGCGATGCACCACTGTATTATTTGTAGGGCATTCTTTGTTTCTCAGATCTTCTCTGGTAAAACAAAGCACTACAGAAGTTTGGAAGCCCAGAATTCGAGATGCGCACGAACCGCTGATTGGGCAGTTTGTGCTGGATTGTTGACTGGCTGAACAGGTGTTTGGTGCTTCAGAGCCCCGCCTCTTCTGGCAGTCCCATTGGAGGAATCACCTGGAGGGGAGGAGCAGGGGAGCCAAGGAGCTGCCTCTGATTGGGCACCTACTGGAGGAGGTGGGGCTTTGAAGTGCCGAACATGTTTGGCCCGTATGTGAAACAGAGCGAACTGTCGAAGTGGTGGTTTGTGCCCATCTCTACCCAGAATCCGTGGCCACAATCTTGTTGGGTAAACGACACACACAACATGATTTGTGGACGCTCTTCTACTCTTTGCTAAGGTGTCCGCACCACAACTGGTTGCATTGTAGTGACAAAATTGTTTATCTCACCAGCACAGGGTGAGAAAACGGCTTGGAGGATTGGCAACCAAACAGGATTCAGCCCCTTGTATGTGGTTTTTGTGATTCTTAGTTTTGTTGCCTATTCCTTGGTGTTGGGATGGGTTTTTCCATGGTGGGCATATTTGGGTACTCCGGGAAGACTCAGGAGACACTTGTTCTGCATTCATGGTGCCTTCTCATTGTATGTGGACTTGCAAGTGTAACTATTTTTCCCAGGAAATTATTGAAAACAAGTGAAAAAAAAGTGTTTTCCTTGACATTTAGCCTCTTGAAATGTAATTTGCTGCAGGAGGCTGGCATTTTAATGGATGTTTCTCTAGACTGCACATTTATTCCCAATCAGGAGAGATATCGATAGGTTAAGAGTGTTGCATAAAGGTTCTCAGGCTTTGTTCCTTTTGCAAGGGGGGGTAATTCATGTTAAAGCATGCCTCGTGGATCCTGGGGTTTGTGGATTATGGGGCACGTCTAAATAGAGAGTCTTTGTGTTGAATTTATGGTTCTACCATGTTGGAAAGGGAGTGGTATGAGCAGTCCAGGGGTCTAGCTTTCTAGGGGTGCGTGGACTACGGATGTTGTAGAATAGGTCAATAAAACACTGATGTTGGGATATTTTTCGAATGCTCTTTGGTGTTACACAAAGACCCCTAATTTTTTTAAAAAATCTAATTTTCCAGGAAGGCCAGCCCACTTCCTGGTATGCTAACTTTCTACTTGCAGGAAATAGCCTTAATTTTTGTTTAAGGTAGAGCCCTTCATCCAAAGCCAAGGATGATGGACTAGAATTGGGAGTTCCTATTGCTAACCTGTCTTTTGGATTTCACATATTTTTTCCATCACCTGTCAGAACGGTAAACCCATTGGCATAGTTTTGGCTGATCTTGTCTTTGGGCTGCATCCCCTTGTCCAGAATGATATTTACTTTCCCTGGGGTTTATCTTTCTTTAACAAAAGCGAAAGTTGAGCTGCAGGGTCCACGTGGTGGCGGCTCCTTTATTAGGTGAGCTATAATGGAATTCTCTGTGCAGGATTTCAAAGTAACATAGCTCTTTTTCAGGCATCATGTTACAAAAAGCAGAAGTGAGGAAGGCTTGACATGAAGATATAATCTGTGCGCCATGTTAAGATGCAAGGGGAAATGTGACAGATGTCAGAGCAGAGCTGATCAGGTGTTAAATTACACCCTGCATGCTCCCTAGTTTTCCTGGGAAGCCAAAAGGCCACAATATACAGTAGGACCCCATTTTCATGGGGTATTAGTTCCAGGCTGAAAACTGCAGATAACATGTACAGTGAACATTATACATAGATAAAAGAAAAACATCCAGAAAAAAACCCATTTTCACCATGTGTTACCAGAAATGGCCATTAGAGGGAGCCAGAGACCATGATGGTTTGTTGACTCTTGCTCCTTCTAGTGGCCAGTTTTGGTAAATACATCATGAAAACATGTATTTCTAGTTTTTTTATTTTAATATTTTTAACATTTTCAGACAGTGGATAAGTAAAACAGCAAATACCGATCCCACAGATACAGAGCTCCTACTATGCTCTAAATATAGAATCCACATTTTGAAAATACCCACCTCACCTCCTTGCTGCTCAAGATTGTCTCCGTTTAGTGCAAAGCTGCATAGTAGGAACAAAACAGAGAGTCTTAGACAGTTTCTATACTGCCAAGGCTGGAGATGATTTTAATGATCAAACAGCTGGGCGGGTGAATCCCCCGAGTTTAATGTTCCAGTTTAGGTCGTCATGAAACCCTTTTTTTCCCACTTTGCTGCTGAAATTATTATATTTGGTATCCGGGTACAGGAAGAGCCCGTGTGGTATCTTTTGCATTTCATATTGTGCTGTAAAATAGATTTTTTCTGCTAGATTCTTCTGGCAGAAGAACACTGGTGCCAAGTCCTGTCCCCGGATGAAAAACTTGGTAGCACCGATTCACAAGGGTAGTGCCTCAAGAATTCCATGCTAGCATTAAATCACAATGTTGTCAATAACTTGTAGCAATGTCCCTGTTTCTCTCTGTACTTAATTGTACAGTGGTGCCTCGCTTGATGACGTTAATTCGTTCCAGCAAAATCGCTGTAGAACGAAAACGTCATAAACGAAATAAAAAACCCATTGAAACGCATTGAAAACCGTTCAATGTGTTCCAGTGGGCTGAATACCTGCGAGTCCAGCGAAGATCCTCCATAGGGCAGCCATTTTCTGGTGCCTGTTAAGCAAAAAATCAGTCCTAAAAACAGCAGGGGGCCATTTTCTTCAGCTGGTGGCCATTTTGAAACCCGACGATCAGCTGTTTGCTGATCGTCATAAAGCGAAAATCGGTTCCTGAAGCAGGGAACCAATCATCGTGAAACGAAAAAATCCCGTTTAAACCATCGTTTTGTGATTGCAAAAGTGATCGCAAAAACTTCAATGTTAAGCGGATTCATCGTAGAGTGAGGTAATCGTCCAGCGGGGCAGGACTGTACTTTAGTGTAATGGGTAACACAAAATTGCAAGGTGTCTCTCTCTCTCTCTCTCTCTCTCTCTCTCTCTCTCTCTGTGTGTGTGTGTGTGTGTGTGTGAGAAGGTCCAAGAGGGCTGGATCTGATTTAAAAATAAATAAATTGTGATTTAAATAAATTTCTTTTGGAAAAAATTCATTGATTTTATCCATCCTGGGGTCCTTTCTCTCCCCCTGCTTTCAAATTTCAGTTCAGGAATGTACTGAAGCATATGTCAGGAGAAGTCCTGTTGGGATGTTGGGTAAGGATGTTGGTGTAAGTTGAATGATCTTAAAGACGTTTATATGGATGTTTCTCAAACTTTGGGTGCAACTGGATAGAGAAATAGTTTTCATCTTGGGCCATTTTGGTCCAGTATGAGCCATTTTCTGATCATCAGATGAAATACAGGAGAACATTAACCCAGCTGGCCCTGCTCTGTTGCCCAAGCTGGGCGTGTTTGGTCCAGTGGCAGAGCTACCTTTTATAAGAGCTGGGCTGGAGGAATTCCTGCAGGCATGGAAGACTCACTTTAAGGAAGCTCAAGTCATCCTTCCCGGTGCAACCCTACGTGATCCTTTATCACTGTCTTATCACACCCTTTGTGATACTGGTCCCAAATCTTGGCAAAAGCTGTTGTTTGGGTGACGGGTCCAGATTCCCTTAATGAGCATCATCACTGGCCATGGTGGCAGTCAGCATTGAAGCATGATACCCTTTAAAAAAGTAACTTCTTCAAGCATGTTCTCCCATATCCTAGAGGTCTATAAAGTTCTCTAGGGCTTTTAGTGCTTCTAGTCTCAGCTCTCCAGGCGAGACTGGAAGCCCTTGAGAAGGAGATCCGTT